AGAGTGTCTAACATAGATGTCCCACAGGACAAACCCCTTGGCTTCTTGTTTCATTATGTGAGGAGAAGCATCTTCCACCATGGCCACTATGTTTATGTTGTATAAATAATTATGTTTATTTTATTTTAATTTTTAGCTTGAAGTTTAGATCTATTTTTCTTCCTTTTTTTTTTATTTACGATTAATTAGTGGTATACTTATCGCAAATATATAACAACATCTCTCGCAACTAGTGATGTGATCACTAATCACGTACAATATGCATGCGTGTGTACATCAATATTGGTTTCTGCAAATAACAAAGAACAAACTATATAATACAAAAAATTAGGATTTTAATAATCACGTTTAATTATGGTAATTTGCAATCAACTGGAAACTACCAACTGTTGGATTAAATTAATTGGCATCCTAATCATTAATACTGAAATGCAAAACAAAAATCGTCGGAGAAAACAAGATAAGTATATGATGAAGGCTATGTATAGATTAGGTTTTTATTACACAAAAGGAATAAAAGGATAGGGACAAAGGAAATGCATAGCCAAATACACTAACCACCTTTTGTCTTTGTATTTAATACCGTCGATGTTGATCACACCCAACATTCCACATTTCACACAACCATTTTTTTTTACTATTATATTTATTTAGCCATTTATATAGAAAAAAAACCCCGAAATTAATTTAATTAGAGTTTATGGATTTTATATAGCCGTCGAGATAAAAGTACCTTAGACATGTCCTGTGATCGTTGTTTAAAAAAACCCTAGAGTCCTTTAACAAAAAAAAAACCCTAGAGTAATTTAATTTGACACGCGTGTCAAATATGTGTGTGTGTATGTTATCAACGTGAAGCTTCAAGGAAAGTCAGCTCCATTTTCGGCTACATATATATGTGTATGTATAGCCATGAGCAATAACTGTAATAATATTAATTGCCTCGATGGCTATCTTCCTTGTATAAACTTATAGAAACCCCACTTTTTCTTCTCCATATATATCTTCCGTTTTCTATATATATATATATATATATGCGTGTGTATATAAATCCATAAATTATTGCGACGTTTTGGTTTTGAACAAGTAAGAAAAACGTTAAAAGTAGAGAGAAGAGTATGGGACGCCGAGAAGAAGAAGAAGAAGTGGTGGTGATACGGAGCTACGATCATCGTACGGACAGAGTTCGAGTAGAATGTCTCGAGAGAAGCTGTGAGATCGGACACAACGACAAGATCTTTCTCTTCACTGATACTCTCGGAGATCCCATGTGCAGAATCCGCAATAGCCCCCTCTACCTTATGTAGGGATGTCAATTGGGTTGGCCCAACCCATTTGGGTCCAATCCATATGGATTTGAAGGATAAACGGGTTGGGTTGGGTCGACCCGTTAATAATAGTGGATGGGTTGGGTCGACCCATTAAACCCGTATAAACCATATAAATCCATTTATATATTCACAAATTACTTATACATATATAACTATTTAATATGTATATTCATATAACCTAGAAATTATCATTTTAATATTCAATTCGGTTTATCGATTCAATAAAATATATATAAAATTGGATATTATATTATATTCGATAGTTTATACAAAAATTATATATTTCTTTAAAAAAAAATAAGATTTTTTTATTTTTTTTAAATTCGATTCGATGTTTTAAAAATATTGTCGTTTAAAATTTTTGAACGGTTCGTTTTAAAAACGACACCGATTTTTTCAATACGATTCGATTAAGAAATGGTTCCAGTTTTTCGGTATGATGCGTATTTTCGGTACGATTCGATTCGGAACCGTAATTTGGAAAAAGAAGGGATATTGGACAGCCTTAAAAGCTTTTTCGTTACCGATTTTTTTATACGATTTGAATTTTTCGGCACGATTCGATTCGAAAACGACACCGAGTTTTTTGGTACGATTCGATTCGGAACGGTACCGAGTTTTTTATACGATTCGAATTTTTTTACACGATTCGATTCGAAAACGACACCGTGTTTTTCGCTACGATTCGATTCGGAACGGTACCAAAATTTTTATACGATTCGAATTTTTCGACATGATTCGATTCGGAAACGACATTCAGTTTTTCGGTACGATTCGATTCGGAATGGTACCGAGTTTTTTATACGATTCGAATTTTCCGGCATGATTCGGAAATGACACTGAGTTTTTTTATATGATTCGATTCGGAAACAAAACCAATTTTTTCGGTTTGATTCGGAACGGTATCGAGATTTTATACGATTCAAATTTTTCGGCACGATTTGATGCGAAAACGACACCGAATTTTTCGGTATGATTTAATTCGGAGTAGTATCGAGTTTTTCGACACGATTCGAATTTTTCGATACGATTTGAAAACAAAACCTTATTTTTCGTTACGATTTGATTCGAAAATGATACCAAATATTTCGATTTAATTCTTATACATATATATAAGTATATATATATATATATAAATATCTAAATATATAATGAATTTAATAGGTTAACCATTTAACCCATGGGTTTAATGGGTCAAAACCCATTTAACTCATTTTAAAAAATTAACCAAATGGGCTAATCCATTTGGGTTTATAAATGGGTCGGGTTGAGTCGACCCGTATAACCCGACCCATTTTGACATCTCTAACCTTATGCTGGTTCCCTTTTATTTTTTATTTTAATTTATTATGTCGCTAAAGATTATATATATATCTATTCACTTAGTAAGCTATCACATATGAATTCTACATTGGATATAGCGACTTTATACGGGACCACGTGTCACCAAATCGCACTGTATATATACATTATACTGATTAATTGGAATCGGACGAATCCAACGCTTTAACCCTAGTTTTCGAAATGAATCCGTTTATTTGTTCCCGCGTGTGTGTATGTTATATATAGCACATAAGACTCCATAAATTTAGGTCTAATATTAAACTGCCGGATTACAGTGTTGTCCACTAATATTAATATATATTCACCATACTTTAGAACTGTTGGATCGATACATAATGGACAAAAGAAACGTAACGGTGCAGGTGGCGGAGGTCGGGAACGAGCTGGTGGGTTCAGTACAAGGGTCAATAAAGCAAGCGACGGTCCACGAGAACTTAGCCATGGTTGGGTACGTTCTTGGGCTGAGAGTTGCGCCGCCGCATCGCCGCCGTGGCATTGGGTCGGTTCTGGTGAAAAAGATGGAGGAGTGGTTCGCTTTACACGGCGTCGCCTACACCTACATGGCCACTCAGAAGAACAACGTCGCTTCTCTCAATCTCTTCGTCGGAAAACTCGGCTACGTCCCATTCCTATCGCCGGCGATCTTGGTCAACCCGGTCAACCATTCCCGTCCTCTCAAATTGCCTTCCGGTATCGCCATACGCAAGCTAAAGGTACATACATACATACATACATATATATATATATGTCATGTGTAAGTTAAATCAACATGGCGTATGATTATTTTATAAAACCAATCTAAATGGTCAAGAATTACCCATAAAACCAACGTAGAAAACGAAATGATGCTCTTAAAGCGCATAATACAGTAATAGAAACAACACTATAGGTTTTAATGTTATAAATAATTCGGAATATGATAATTACATCGGAGATTGAAACCAAATTAAACTAGGTCACAACCTAAAATACTGTCTTCTTTTTATTTTTGCGTGCCCTTGCCAATTTGGTCCATTAGTACCCATAGGCACCACATGGTATATATAATATCCGAACATCTATTATAGCCTGAAAAATCTAAACAATCATTTTAAATTAAGTATACTTGCTGGACAACTTTATTTAATTCTTTTATAAAAAAAAACATAATTTAATTCTAACAGGTGGACGAAGCCCAGTCGCGGTACCAAACCCAGATGGCGGCGACGGCGGAATTTTTCCCGGACGACATAGACAGAATCCTGAGGAACAAGTTAAGTCTTGGAACATGGATTGCTTATTACAACACGAAGGATGATGATAATGTCGGGAGCTGGGCAATGCTAAGTGTTTGGAACAGCGGAGAAGTGTTTAAACTCAGGATTGGTAAGGCTCCTTTGGGTTGTTTTTTTCTCACGAAAGGCTCCAACTTTCTCGGAAAATATCTGTCGTGTGTGGGCTTAACTGCGCTACCAGATCTGTTTACTCCGTTCGGGTTCTATTTCGTGTACGGAGTTCATACGGAAGGTCCGAATCCCACGTGCGGGGAACTCGTTAGGGCTTTGTGTCAGCACGTGCACAACATGGCGGCACGTGATTGCGAGTGTAAGGTCGTGGTGGCGGAAGTTGGTGGAAATGGAGATGGTTTGAGGAGATATATTCCACATTGGAAATCGTTGTCTTGCGACGATGATTTGTGGTGCATAAAAACGATGAAACACGATGTCGAGAAGGCGGAATTCGGCGATTTCACAAAGAAATTCTCGACGAGAACGAGGACGCGATCTCTATTCGTGGATCCACGGGAAGTGTAGTGAGATCGGTATATACGCAATTCCATTCTCTTCCCACCCTTTTGATACAATTCATATATTATAGATTTTAAATACCGGGTGATTAATTTTTAAATTTGTAACTTTTCCCACACACGTGTGAAATTTTAACTTAGCTATGGTTTTGCGTGATAAATAATAAATATATGAACCGTTTGAACTGTAAACCTAATCAACCCGTTACGTGAATTAGGGTTCTTAAACCCGAGTTTCTGTAATTGTAGAAGACGCTGAATATGATATGCATTTACAATTTTGTATATATTCCCTCTCTTGTAAGGTTGATCTCACGCGCACTTGTGTTTTTTTGTTGATAGAAACATTAATTTTGTTATATAAAATAATGACACGGGCCTATCTTTTAATCAATCTTTGTATAATATGTAATAATAGTAACTGGTAGATGAAATTTACTTCAAATTTATTGTGATTGGGTGCTTTCGATGATCTCACACCAATCACTTCTGTAACACAGTTTTTTGAAGTTAATATACATTTACGTTTACCAAATAAAAAAATTTACTTCAAATTGTTAGGAACATGTCAACTTCATTAGCTAGTTATCCAATATAATGCTCGTCAATTAATGTGCATTAATAAGGAATTAATTAGTTATGGGTTTAATCTCGCAATCATTCACTTTATACAAGTGTGCGTTGTTTCAAGTCAGTAGTCACCATCTATACACCACACCACACTTTGTTTTACTCTTATCCAATTATTATTTGTCCAAATTAATTATATATATATATATATATACTTACAAGTAGCATTTATCAATAACATCTCGATTGAGACCATTTATAAAGGAATTTGGTGTATAATCTTCAATGAACATTAAACAGATCTATCTACCTATATTAGTTATAGGTTTTCAGCGACCATTTAATGACATTATCAAACATATCTGATTTGTTTTCTAACAGAAGATACCACCGTCCATACTCACCATTTATTTTATTTTATTTTTTGCTTATAAATACTATTTTATAGGCAGCCTAGAAAATACGTAAAAATCACGGAAATACGTATAAAAAATTAAACAGTAATTAACAAAAAATGCATTCCGCTTGTGTTAACTCTACAGGCCCAAAAAATAACTGTATAGGCCCATTGGGCTTTGAACATGTGACTTCTTATACAGGCCCATAAAAGAAGAGCTTTTACAGGTAGGACCACCAATAGGGCTTTAAATGGGCCTTCAGGGGTTGTCGGGGTAATACCATATTTACCACTATTTTTTTTTTATTATGAAAGGAACTTAAAAATCGATCATTTATTTATTTATTAAAACTATATATTTACACATTCAGCTTCTGCATACATCTACTCCTCTTTTTCTGGGTATTAAGGCTGTAACGACAAAAGAAAATTACAAAAAAAAGACCAGACATGAACAAGTCAGATCTATCTCTCTTTGTCTGCTTCTACTGTATTCTACACTCAAGACCTCTGCTTCTAACGGATCAGACGTAGTAAACCATTCCAACTTCGAGCAGGGAAGTATGGGGAACGTTCAGAACGACGTCCGGTCCTCTGCAGTTTGTGCTCAGAAACGCAAACACGACATCAATGGCGAACTTCTTCAACACCGATGACGATTTCTTAGCCTTTGCATACGAATGTCCCAATATGTAAGCGACCCCTGATTCTTTCGCTTGCAGAATCTGTAAAGATTCTTCCTTTTTTATCAACGGAATCCCGGTTTCCTCCCAGGACGAACTTTCCATTACCCTGTTTGATCTTCCAGTGGCGCGAGATGGTTCCTTTGCCTTCAGAATCTGTAAAGATTTGTCCTTTACAGCCCGCGAATTCTCGGGTTTCTCTCTGGAATTACGTTCCAGAAGCCGGAGCGATTTCCCCTTGTCTCTAGGCGGTTCTCTGTTGAATCTTGAACAGTCTTCTTCTTCTTCTTCTTCATCATCTCCAGGTTCGTTTTCGACAAATTCCACAATTCCAGCCACCAACCGGCTCTCGAAATCATACATTTCGCGTTGTACATCTCTGTATCCGTATCTCACCACGCATCTAAACATTCCGTAGTCTTTCGGGCCAACTCGGCCGATGAAAAACCTGTCTTCCTCGCCGATATATGGAACCTGAACCGATTTCACGCAGACAAACACCAGAATCTGATGAAACGCTGGCAAGTTCGTCACAAAGTGCCCGAAAACAGCTGGAACTCCCGTCACGAGATTTGTATAGACCAAGCCGATCCCTGGAACCCTCACCATTCCGATACTCGGCCCCAAAGAGATAATCCTATCCATCGAAACTTTGTTCTCCACATCAAACTCGTGTTTCTTGGCGGTTCCGTAGTTCCAGATGTACATTACAGCCATGAATGTAAGGGACAAGAGAATTGGGATCCAACCCCCTTCGGGTACTTTGTAGACACAGGCAGAGAAGTAAAGAAGCTCGATGGAACCAAAACAGATGAAGAACGCGATGACAGCCGCTACTCTTTGCTTCCAGACGATCGTCATGACCAGAGTCATCAGACATGTCGTCACAATCATCACAATGGTCACAGCCAATCCTGCAAGAATAGAAAAAAACCTGAGAGACGAATGGCGCTTTAAGTTTCGTTTCAGTTACTGAGGTTGCTGCCTCTGTGAATTGGTGGTTGCGGTGTTTGTTTACCGTAAGCGTGACCGATCATGTTAGTGTCCCTTAGCCCGATTGTCACGGCCAGACAAATGCACATCAGCATCCAGTTCACTTCAGGGATATAGATCTGGCCATGGATTTTGCTCGAAGTATGAACGATCTTTACACGAGGAAAGCAGTTCAGGGCGCAACACTGACTTATTATCGAAAACGTTGCAGAGATCACAGCTTGGCTACCCACTACGGCTGCAAAAGTGGCCACTATGAACACTGGCCAGAACACCGGTTCTGCAAAGAAAGGGCACGCCTGTTAACCGATGGCCAATGTTCGAAATAGCAGTTAAACGTAAAAACAAAAAGGGGTCGGAACAGTTGGATGAAGACATTTAGCATAGAGGATTGGTACAGTAATTAGTAAAAAAAGATGATTAGAACAACTTTTGGCCAAACTATGACACTAGAGTACTTATGGGTGATTGGGCACAAGTTAAAAGAATCTAAAGTTACCTGGAATTGCTTTGTAGAAGCTTCTTTGTATGTCTTCATGGTGTTTTGAGAGAAATGCCGCCTCACCCATGTACGCCAAAATCAAACACGGGTATACGAAGAAAGAGAAAGCCACCTGATTCACATTTACAGAAAATGTGCAAGATAAGAACGTCTTATTTTCCAAGTGAATTGTTATCGATCTGAAAATTGAAGCAAGTTAGTTGGATCTCTGGTAAAAAGGACTTCTGCATATTGCAGTTGAAAGCAATATGCATGATCAACAAACAAGACCAAGAACATGAATATCAGACCCAATTCATGTTTATATAAAGACAGAACACCACAGTTTGAGTTCAGATTTCCTGATGCAGTTCTTCCTTTTATGATATCTCATCGTAGGAAATCGAATTCGATATAAATCTTCCTAGATGGTTATAAGATTTATAGATAGAGATTCTACTTATGTAGGTAAAGTTCTTACCTTTATCGAAAGAGAAGAGAAGTGACCTAAGTCAGCAAACATTGCCTCAACACCTACATAAACCCACAAAAGAGGAGAAAGAACCTTAAACTTTAGACATAACACAACAAATGGGTTCTGAAAAAACCTTTTCTTGGTTTTATTATATTTACCGGTGATCGAGAGGACAACTCCTCCGAGTGAAACCCATCCTTCGACCCCGGTGCTTTTGAGGAACCTCCACATGTAGACGGGCGAAAATGCGGAAATTATACGCGGATTCCATTTTATTGTGTTGTATACTCCAATGCAGCTTAGTGAGAGAAGCCAAGCTGTGACAATTGGAGCGAAAATGAACGCCACTCTGTGCGTTCCATAACGCTGGACGGAGAAAATTGCGACCAGTATGATACAGGAGATGATTACGACGTAATCTGCAACCGTGAAAAGGATTATAAGAACAATTTTCACCGGAATAACATGTAGCAACTCAAGATCAGCAAGAGGATTCGCTTACTCTCGTGAAGTTCTGGAATCTTGAGCTTAACCCCTGAAACAGCTGAAAGAACTGCAAGAAGATTGAAACGAACAAAGTTATACCCAAATCAGTCTAATCAAAGATGAAATCTTTTCTAGGGAAATTGCATCTCAGTTTTAGGATGTATACAAATGGTTTTGTTTGGATTACAGATCAGAATACCGATGTAAAATCAGGCAGTCTCACCTGATATTGTAGGGGTGAGGACTCCATCTCCAATGGCCATACATGTTCCAAGAAACACAAATATCAGCAAACCCTTTTGAGATCTCGGGTGTTTCTCGAAGAACGACTTAAGTGCTGCGCTCTGCCGAGTCTCAGCCGAACCACTCGTGACGTAGGTTGATAATTTCTCGTCCATCTCTTGATGATTTGGTAAAATGCTTAGCTTGGCATGCCTGCAAAGAAGCGAGTACAATGCAAATGTGCCGCCTTTGTAGCAAGGCAGAAACAGAACGGTTAGCTGCCTGAGATTACCAAGAAGAATGCGGTTCATCAGAGACTGGAAAATAGAACATACAGTTCAAGTTTCCAGTCATCGATTTCGAGTTTCAGAAACCCATTAAGGTTGTCTGTATTCACATCTCATTGCGACTAAAACCATCCAAAAAGGCGTGAACTTTACCCTCTCCATTGTCGTCTGCTGACAGAACGATGAGAACGTATTTGAAGAGAGCGACAATGGTGAATGTCCAGAAAATGAAGGAGAAAACTCCGAAGATCTCTTCGTCGTCCTCGCGGAGGCTAAGTTTCCCCGAGAAAGTGGTCTTGTAGACGTAGAGAGGCGACGTGCTCAAATCGCCATAGATCACTCCAAGGCTCTGGTACGCCAATGTGAGAACATTCATACAAGAAACCCTCTTCGAACGCTGATTCATGAAACGAGCCATGGATCATCAGAATTCTCGATGAACATATAAGCACCGATATAATCAAGATTCAAGAATACCGCCAGTCCAATTAAAGGCTGGAAATTCTAGATCGAATTTATGAAGTCAAAACAGAGAGCCCAACTCCCAAGCTTTTTTCTAAATGCCATAACCCCTGATTCCAATTTGTGATTATTTGCGCAAACAAATTTCATTTTGTAATTTCCAGAAACTTCAGAGACCAGAAGCCGACTTTGTCTACATTTCTTCTGATGCATCATCGCATATAAACCACGAATAAAATCTCATAAAAAAATCATTTTTCTCCCAATTAATCTCTGGATTTTTCTCCCACCCATCTCATGATCTGCTTAAAAGAACTCGACTTTTTGATTCAAATTCAAAATTTCCGGTCACATTACATTCAATTGAAACCAAATAATTTCATAGAAGGTTCAATTTAACCCAATAAAGCCTCAAAAAGGTTGCATTTTTTTCTCATACCCACCTCATCTGTTTCACCAAAAATGAGAATCTTTTACATTTTTTTCCATACCCGTATCATCTGTTTTTTAAAAATTTTCTATGGCCGTTCATACCTAATTAGAAGACAACCCAAAAATCAAAACCGATAAGGAAGTTAAAAACATAATAACCCATAATGGCATGCTTTTGTTCTTCTTCGGGACACGAAATACACCAAAAAATACAACGCAAATCCGCAGAAAATCCGCATTGCCCCAAATTTAATTAAAAACCATTAACAAAAATGCCAATATTCCGCAAAATACAATTTCAATGGGAAAAAGAAAACAAGAATTTCTCTCAGTGAACATGAAATGAAATCTAAAGAGTCGCAACATCAAAGTCAGAGGAAAAGGTTCTCGAGATGGAGAACAAAACTCACCTGCTGAGAAATTCCCTGTTCGATTAGACCCGGCGAAGGGTTCATGGCCTCCGGCTTCACCTCCTTTCTTTTTCTTTTTTTTTTTCTTTTCACGGAAACGAGAGAGAGAGAGAGAGAGAGATGAAATGCAGAGGGAATGTAATAATGTGACGAGAGGGGGATCAGAGAATGAGAGGAGTTGGGAAGTAAGAAGAGCAGCGAGTGGGCTGCGGGGAGAGAGAGAGAGAGAGAGAGAGAGAGAGAGAGAGAGAGAGAGTAGTATGGTGTGTGTTTTTGGTGTAAAGAATTGCAGATTATTCATTCAATGCTGTTTTCTCTCTCTCTCTCTATCTTTTTATTTAAAAAAACAATATTATTTTGCTTCTTTATTAAAAAACTTTATTATACATTAAAATAATACAATACATGAAAACGACCTAAAAAAATACAAAATAGTTAGATATCCAGACGGAAATTACATGGATTTAGCATGTGTATCGGTAATAGTACATTATTTGGTTAAATTATTTCCTACCAAATACACGATATTACTAATCATTGAATTAATGTCTTTCAAAAAAAAATATAAATGTTTTCGTATCTAACAAATTAAACTATTCTATGCAATTCATATTCCATTTAAATATACTATTTAACAATATTTTTTTATTATAAAGTGAGACCCAAAAGGATCAGATCAACAGAAGGTAAGTCTATGGTCCTATCCCCAGATTAAATTACCATTTCAATATAATGCTCTTTAAAAAAATCTGAGATTTCGATTTTTTTTTTCCAGATATTATTTTTCCCCCATTAAAAAAAAGCCATGCTTGGACATCTGATAATAAAAGATGGAAAAATATTTGATAAGAATAAGAAAATTAGTAAATATAGAAACTTGTTCAGTTTTTTCCATAATGTTGTACCGTATTTCCTGTTTTACCCTTTCGATTTCCCACTAATGGCAATCGTTCACCGCAGTGAAGCCTTGGGGACCATATGATAAATAAGAAATGGTAAATTAAATTTCCTGAAATTGTTATTATTATCACTATTTTTAACAGTGATATACAATAATGCTTCCATTCCGAGTTCCCGTCCAATGAAGTGGACAATAATATCTGAACAGTAGACAGAATTTTTATTTGAAGTTTTAAATTAACTATTTATTTAAGATATCTCACGTATTTTCTGATTCAATTATTTTTCATTGACCGATAAACATTATAATAATAAATATTAGCATATTGCATTCTACTCGTTTTATAGTCGTCCACACCAAATAACGCGGACGTAAAAATTACAGAAATATATGCTATCGTAAATGATGGCAACTCATATTTTATATAAAAGCGATATGCAGAGAAATATATCTTTTACGTTAAAACATATATTCAACAATATAATAAACTATTTTTAGACGATTATAAATGCACCCCGAGTCTAGAAAGCTTCTTTTTTATTTTTATCCTATCCTTTCATTTCATTTCATCCATTATGATAATTAAATACATGTCGAGCTAAAACTTGGATTAAGATACGTTTTCACTCTTCGTAGATATTCGAAATAAAACATATATATAAATATATGGGCCGTCTTGATCATGCTTATATTATATAAACAAATTGCGAATACCGAGAAATTCCCCTACATCTACATATGTATACGTACACAGACAAGTTTGTTTAAGTTATCACGTAATCTTCGTGAGTAAACAGAAATCAAACCTAACTCTGACTTAAACCCGTCATTGCAATTAGTTAATCAAGGTGGATAATAGCAAGCAAGCGGAATGACGAACCTAATTCGTTAAATTAACTAACTAATTAATTAATTAATTAATACCATAATCAGAAGTAATTGTCATTAGCATGAGTTCGTCCGCTTTTTTTTCCTTGGTCCTTGCAATTGACAAGCGTCCAAAACAGCTGTTCCAACAATTTAAAAAAAAAAGGGGTTTTGACAATTAATCGATCTATTGATTTGTCTTCACGAAATATCGATTCGTATATTTATCACGTAACGTACGTGTAACGAGTGGAATTTTCTTCCACGTACGGCGTATTATTTTGCAATTGGAATACGAAAGGTCAAACGTGTAGAATATTCATGGGATCTATAACTAGAAATCTATGTGGCTGCAGTTTGACAAACGGTCGTCGCACGAGAAAATTCGAAATGCATGCGTCACACTGCATGCATGAACTATATGCATGCATCACTTTATCACACACAATACTCTTAAGGAAATCGATATATGGCATGTATATATATATATATGTATATATATTATGTTACTGCTTAAAACAGTGATGGTCAAATTACCATGTTTTTTTATTCACAATACAGATAAAACCATAAAAGTACAATTTTTAACAAAAAAAACGTGTATAAAAAAAAATCAGAATTACAAAGTAGGTTAGAGTACACAAATTAGGTCAAATGCCAACTCAATTGCAATCACGCACTATACATAAATTATACCATTTAAAATTTAGCCATTTATTTGCAACCTACCACTATAATATTAAATTTGTAATTTATAAATGTGTATCTATATGTAAATATTTCTGACTGATCCATAATTTTTTTATTACATAAAAATCTTAATTTAAGTGCCTTAAATTATGAAAAAAGTGTAACCAAAGCACAAAAAATAAATCGAAATGGTTTATTTAGAGTAAAGAAAAAGGTTATTGATAAATAAAAATCTGCAATGGAAGAGAATGAAAAAGCGAAGGGAGTGGTAGGCCCATTTGACGTGGTCGACAGGCTTGAATCGTTCTAACATTTGAGTTCGAGATGGTCCCTCTCTCATTAAATGACTTCACCATCTTCCTACAAATAAAAATTCATTGATTTGACTTTTTATTTCAATTATTTCATCATCTCATTACCCCTATATATAGTCTTATAGATGGTTGGGTCCACTCTCACTTACGAAAGCTACTGCCTTCTAATTCTCATATGACAAATATCTCGCAGATTGCCACTAGAAGAATGATGTGAAAACCGTAAAAAAAAAAGTTGACTGCTTAACAAGATAATTATTCTCTATAACTAAAAATACCTTATCATACAAAATTCAAGATATGTTATCTTCCGACAAATTAAAGTTTCGTAATTTTATTTTTACAATAAGCTTTAGAACCATGCCCGCTTCTCGTAAAATTATATATCTCTTCCCCACAAACTTTGACTGCTCAAATCATTGAGTGACCGATGTGAATAACAGTACGTACGTACGTGAAAGAAAATATAGGTTGGGAAAGAGGAATCTGTTACGACGTCGTATCGGAAGATTCAGGCAATGGGAACGCGATCAAAGTGTAGGGCTTTCAGGATATGATAGAGGACAAGTAACGAAGGACATGCACACGGTTGAGACGGAGGAAGAGATGATCAAAGTGTCATCATCCGAAAAACCTTAACAACCAAATCCCATGTCTTGTCCCCTCAACCTATCATCTCCCTCTTAAATTTCTCGGGGGTCCATCTTTTTTGTCCGTACTGCTTCAATCGCATTTCAAGTACATTGCATGGAAAGTGGGTCGAATAATTGCGTCGGTCCATTGCACAATTTGTTTTTTATTTTATAAAAAAAGGGTTTGAAAGATAAAGTGACAAATAAAAAATAGGAGCCCGGAGAAAGAAAGGCGAGGAAGGGATATGTGGCCTTGTGGGATTATCCAATTAAAAAATAAATAAAAAGGACAAAAAGGAAAAAGGAAAATACGCGTTGTATTGTTTCTTTAAATATTGTTTAAGACATATGGAATTTTTACATGATGATGTTTATGGGATTGTAACGTTCGTATCAATACACTAAATATAAATAGCTAAAACACATTTTCCATGTGGATTTTATGTATCTGCCTTGCTAAGTCTATACGCCTAATGGTTGGTAATACCTAATAACTATTTTCAATGTTAATGCTTTTTATAAAATTCTGAATATACCTCGCAAACTGAGATTTTTTTTATATAGAAATTGTTAAATGTTACCATAACAATTCGAATTCTTATATATATATATATATATATATATATAATCTTTCTTTCTATCTATTTTATTTTTCTTTTTTTATTTAGAGGAAATATCAATAACAGCTTATTATACCATAACATTATCAAAAAAAAAAACTTATTATACCATAAGAGTAGATTTTGTTTCATAACCCTTTTTCTTATTAATAATCGATTAAATTTATGATAAGATTATTGGTTAAATTAATAAGCTTTTTTTCTAACATAAGCTTTCCCTGCCTTATTTATCTGTCCTATTTCAATTTATTATTATTTTCTTTTTTATATAAGTATTATTATGATTTTTTTAAAAGATGGTACTAATAATAATAATAATAATAATAATATAAATTTGCTTTTTGTACCTATCATCTTTCCTTAACTTTCGGTTCTTTTAAAAAAAATCAAGTTTAGAAAAATCCCATACCTTTAAAATATTTCCAGAGTTTCATCTCAAGTTATTGATTGAATATATGACTTCTAAGACATTTGTTTTTTTGGAGTTTTTATCTTAAAGTTAAAAGGTAACAAATGCTTTTGTCCGAATGTCAGAAAGAAGAGAATCACGACAGAGAGCCTTATCCGAAGCAGCAGAGCCGAAGGAAGGAACCCGTAACACCATCTCTGCATTCTCCCGTACAAAGCGGTGGTAAGTTTTATCTTAACCTATGCTGCCATCAGTATTAAGCCTTCGAATATTTTTTTGTCCATAAGGACACATCAGTTAGCTTACCCTGAGGGACTGCAATGTGGGATGGCAGCCTAAGATCTAACACTGTGATATGAAACCATTCATATTTACCTATAATGGACTCAAATTGGAAACACTTTTATCTCCTCAAAATGCTGACCATCCATCCATCCAAGGGAACAATAGAACTTACAGTCATGTATTCAGAAAACAAACTCAAACTTTCCACCGTCCGCCATCACCAAAATTCTCATATGCAAACCATCAGCTAACTCTTTTTCAGACTTCTGACATCCAACCCGACCCATAAGACCCACCAGCAAATATGACATGACAAAAGCCATTAAACAGGAGAGGGATCTGAACACTATAATGAAAGATAGAATACCTCACCCTGTATCCATGCACACAACAGGTTTGGCAGAAGAAAAACAGCCGAGACATCTAAGTTGAGGAACCGGACTCTTCATCCGTCTTCTTCTTTTCTTCACCCGCCTTCTCCGGCTCGCTCTTCTTCTCCTCTTCCTTTGTTGATGGCGCCTCCTCCACAGGTTTCTCCTCTGTTTCCTTCTCTTTAACTGTCAATTTCTCAAGAAGACCAGCTGCTTCTGAAGCATCTTTGTCCTCTTCTTTCTTTTCTTCAGATTCGGCAACTTCCTTGAACTTTTGCATGAATGTCTTGCAGTCTGACAAGTTATAAATATCCTCAATTATCTATTTGGTTCAACGTGTCTTTAAATGTGAGAAAATATAGTGCCCTTGAGAGGATGAGATGAGCACAGTAAAACTATGGAGAGAAATAACCCAGAAAAGTGCTAACAGGAGACAAATCGGGACAAGATTAACACAGGAATTCAAGGAGCTTCTAAAACAGTTACCTGTGCTGCACAGCTTAACTACAAGACATACTGAGATAACCAGGACTATTACTTTGGTAAGATTAAACTGTTGAGAGTTGACTAATGTCATTGTAATTGTGGCTTGCTGCCATAAGCAACTTGTGAATCTAAACACATGCTCAACTAGCTCTAGATCAAATGGCAGATAAAAACTAGCGTAACCAAAAAGAAACCTACACAATTGTAGCAAAGCAACGGCATCTTACCATCTAACAATTCCCCAACATAAAGCATTCATGCTATGTCACTAGTAGTAAGTTCGTAGACTAACATATGAAGAGGCCAAATGAATAGTAAAAGGAAGTAACAACGCAACAAACAGATCAAAACAATCAACAATATAACCATTAACATGCGTTCAAGGAATATCTAAAGTGGTCTCTCGAGGTTCTCCAATGATTTTAGCTATAAGCCCTAGAAGGCTCCTGATGGAGATGAATAGAAGTGATGCAAATGAGAAGCCGCAGAACCGCCCAAGAAAGTAATCAGAACTCAGAAGGGTATGGCCGATGAAAAGGATTGGATATACATTGCTAACCAATAATCATCTAATCACAACAACCAACATGTGAGAGACATGTTGGCAAGTGCTGGAACGATCTGGGAATCACGTATTAAGATCTACTATGCAAATCACATTATCCATATTCATACTCACTTTCCACTGATGCGAATCTGATGCAGAAGAGCTCATCCTTCAATTCCCCTTCGGAAAAATCAGAGGCATGCCACACGCAGGACTTTTCATTTCCAACGTGTTCCTGAACAGTCATGCCGGGCAAAACTGCAGAGGTTGCGGAAGAGAGCATAGTTAATGATTCACGAAACACGGATCCATTGAAAACTTAAAATCCAAAGACGAGAGCACGCGATCGGGAGAACTCACTGAGATGATTGGCACAGATCTTCAGAGTTTTGGATTGCCTCATAACAAGACGAATCTTGCTAGTCCCCTTGTGCTTCAAAAACTTAACAGTACCCGCACCTCTCTCCTTCCACTGATTCCCATCCTTATCGAACCGATACAACTTCGATTTACTACGATCCACAATCAAAACCGAATCGAAATCTCAGGACCGATCGCAAACTAAAACCCTAGAAGAAATCGAGGAAGCAGCTACAGCAACGATCAGATCCGAACGACCTAGACAGAGATCAAAATGTCAAGAGACTCAAAGAGCGAAATATACATACAGATCGAGGATGGCGTCTTCGTCTTCCTCACCGGTGGTGACGGCGACCTCCTCGAGCCTGACGATTGGAGCGACCTGAGCTCCGGTGTCCTCGTCCTCGTTGGCTCCGGTCTCTTCCTCCTCTCTGTTCTCGTGCTGGGGTTCGTTGGTCGCCATTGTATCAAACCTCTACCACAAGGCCGCTCGCTTGTTCGGTGCTGTGGGAGAGACGGAGAAAATGGTTGGGTCCTTATGACGGCTAAGTTAAAGGAGATTTTATAGGAGACTGGTCGTGAAGGGGAAAATTTTTTTGGGCCTAGTTTTCATGAAGAGCAAGCCCAATAGCCCAATATGACAACCTAAGAATATGAGGCCTATAAAAGAGCCTAATATTATTTTTCTATTTGAAACAAATATATAACGATTTTGTAAATCCCATTATATAGAACTATTATATTGTTCAAATCTTTAAAAACCACCTATAGAGATGAAGTTCCGCATTTCAAGATATATTATATGGGAAAATCAACCGTTTCATAGTTATATATCAAATAAAGTACGGATCAAATTGATGTTTTGAGTTTTTTTTTGTGCGTGTGTTCCGTTAGATGATAAAAGACCAGAAAGAGCCAATCATCTTCATCTTTAATAATTATGTAGAATTATTATTATTATTATAATAATAATCTCTTGCCCATCTTTGAATATTTTGACTTTGTAAATAAACAATGCACTTTAACTAAAGTCAAATCCAAATTAAAAGTTTAAACAGATGCAAATTGGAAAAGTCGGCTATAACTTTAAGATATGTCAAAAGGATGAAATCATGAAGAAAGTAGAATGATCTTGAGCAAAAATGGTATATTATTTGTGTTGATACTCGATACCTCTTCCACCTTGCGAATTAAGGATCTTGTGGATGCCAACGATGCCCACCACCGCATCGTCATCCTTCCATTTGTCCATATTTTATTCGGAAAAAAAAATATAAAGCCGATTATATTTAGTTACATATTATTTTACCTACAAATATAATTAAGCCGATCAAATAATGGGATTTCTTGTTTAGACCCGTTTATTCCATATTCAAACAAACAAACTTCGTTTATAGTGAAGTATCTTCCATGGAAGTCGTGATAATTTTTTCCCAATAATTTATTTGATATATATATTTTTAAAGGTTGATTATAATTTTTTTTTTTTGTCGAGAAGCTTATCGTTGAGGGTAAATGCATGAGTTAGGACACCCATCCCCAACAGACCACGAAGAGTTCAGGTTTTTTGGCCCCATCTAATCACATGCAATAGAAAAAAAATTTGATTTTTATTATTATTGTCACGATAATTACGATATATGTGAATCACATCGACGAAAGATTTAGAACATATATGAATATTTTCTACCGCCAGAAATTCCATGAATAATAATTCACGCAACACCGCGGACGGTCCCGCGTTCTCCGGCCGCCCAACGTCTGTCGCCGCGGCTCCCAGATTGTTGAAATTACGACTTTGCCACTCCGACGAATCTTCGACCTCTTGACATGTGTTTGATTCCGCATTTACCCTCGGGCGATTCGGATATTCCTTGATTCGTTGAGGGCCTCTTACCTCCACCCAACCATCTGATTCCCAATTTGTCCCTCCGGTCGCACCCAAATTACAAATCCTTGCCATCGCCGAAACTCCGGGTTCTGATCTCGGCCCGGTATCTTCCTCTCCGTCGTATTGTTCGTACTCCGATTTGACCCAGTCGAGTACGCAACGGGGAGACGATTCAGAAGACGGCGAACAATGATCACGTGACAGAAACGGGTGCTTTAAAAGCTGATCGCAACTCCACCTCAGACTCGGGTCTTTGCTCAAACACTTGTCGAGGAAATCGCGTCCGAGTTCCGACAGACCCGCCGGGATAACCGGTAACTGGTCGGAGAATCCGATTCGAATCAGCGAGTCTAGCCCGCGGTCTTCCCAGGCGGGTTTTCCGGTGAAAATCTCGATGACCGTACAACCGAGCGACCACACGTCACTTTCCGGCCCCTGGTACTCCCTCCTGATCACCTCCGGCGCCATCCACAGGGGGCTTCCGCGTGGCGTGATCAGAGCCGTCGACTCGCCGCCGCAAAATCTGATAGCCGACCCGAAGTCCGCGAGTTTGACGGAACTCCGGTCGTGCCCGAAGAGGGCGTTCGCCGCTTTGACGTCGCAGTGAACGATTCCGTGCGAGTGAACGTGTCGAAGAGCAGAGACCAAACACCACGTGTACCGTCGGAGCAGAGCCTCGTCAATTCCGTTGCTGGCGGATGCCACGTCACTGCCGGGAAGATACTCTATGTGAAGATTCCGAAACGACGCCGTTCCCTCCTTGGACACGTCATCGCCGATGAAACCCACGACGTAGGGGTGAGGCTCGATAGAGCGGATGACGGCGATTTCGTTCTCCAGAGACTCTGCCTGAGAAGGGAGACATGTGGCAAGATCAACGGATTTCACGGCAAAAATTCCGCCGTCAGATCTTCTCACGGCCGTGCTAACGGTACCGAAACAGCCGCGTCCGATGCACGCGCCTCGAACCCAAGAAGAAGAAGAAGAAGTGTTCTGTCTGAACCTGATGCTCTGTTTCTCCATGTGTGCCAACTTTCGTGTGTTGTGGTTGTGGTGCTTATGGCCATTGGCTTTTATACGTGGATTTGATTGAACTGCGACATGTGAACAGTATATCAAATTGCAATATTTTTTTTTGAAGTTTTGACGTGGAGTTTGCCTCTACTTGATCACAAAGTTGTGGACGCGGAATACCGTCTCAATTTTTAAAATTTATCACGTGTAAATTCATTGCGAGTTTTGAATGCTCATTGTTTCCTGTATATTGAAATCCAATTACATTTTTTCCCGCAGAAAAAGGGATTTTTTTCCAGATAGAATTTAAATATTTTCTCAAGTAAAATATTTCTTTCCAGATATATAAGATTCATCGATTAGTTAAAAAAAAATACAAGAAGATTTAGATAAGGATAATAGGGGACAAGGGTTTTTGATGACATAGTAACGACCCTTGGAGAAGTTCCCGAGCTGCTGTAAGAAACTGAGCACTTGGCGAGTGTTATTATCCTTATCCAAAAATAGCCAAGCCGCTGTTTAATCTGGTCCGTTGATTTTTTTGTCAAGCGAGGAGCCAACGGTTATCGTTTATGCTCGTGTTTTTTTTAGGGATCCCTCGCCACCAAGCGGTTGTTCTTAGATTGATTAGATTCGGATGGTGGGGAAGGCAAATATGTGGTGTGTCAGCCACAAATGATGTCCATCCATTTTCTGCCGCTTGATCCGTTGACTTTTTTGTTGTTGGTTGACTCTCGTTGTACGTGATCAACACATCATACATACGGGGAATCAAGTCCTCAAGGCAAACAGCTCATTATTGATGATCGTGTACCAGTTAGGAATAAAATATCGATCACTAAAAAACTTTTTAGATTTATCTATGCTCCGTATGTTAAACTTCCTTTGTTTGTAATAAAATATTGATGGGTAGAATTTTATTCCCTTGACCCGGCCAGCTTCGGCTATTTTATTCGATCTACGTAGTTTGCCAGTTATTGTGTAGGATCGGAAGTTTATTGTCGGCATACCGACTGTCCAGTCTGTGAGAAGATTGAGGCGGTTGGAGTCCGGTCTGAAGGGTCGTATCACGGGTTTCCACAGTTATAAAAAAAAATTGTTACAGTGTTGGGATGGGGCGCGAAGCAGAAGATTAGAACTCGGGCGGAAGGGGTATGGTCACCACTTGGATGCCAAAGGGTGGTAAAATCCGGTGACGTGTCAATCTATTAGTGGTCCACGTATACCAAAGAGCACCGGTGTCTCCAGTTGTCCGAACTTATTTTTGCAAGAGATTGCCGTGACACTACACTATTGACGTGCTCCACCATCCTCCACATATGATTAAATTTTGTCAAAGTGTTTTTTTTTTATTTCACATATGATTAAATTAATATATTGTTTTAAATTTTAAAATAACGAATTATAAAATTATTATATTAATCAGAGCGTATAAATAAAATCATTTTCATGTGAAAACACGTCCAAAAATACTAATAAATATTTTGATCCTTGCACAAAAAATATATATTTATCACAGGTATCATTGTTTATAAAAAATCATTGATATATAAAATGCATAATTACTTAACTATAAATTCATCTCCCCGAACAAACAGAGGTGTACTCACCAAAATTTTTAGAATATATATACACTAAAAAAAATACATCTCAAAATATCATATTTGTTATTCAACTATTGAAATTAATAATAAAAAAATATAATGGAAAGGATCTTGTAAAAAAAAATCTCTTTTTTTTTTGTTCTTTTGCCGAAATTTTATGTGTTTTTTCTTTCGAATAATTCTCCGCCATTCTAAGAACGTGTAGGATTATCTCAACGGTCCACCAAATTGTTCCATATCCTTTCATGGCAGATTTTATGAAAAAAGAAGAATCCAAAACATAAGATATTATTTGGAACATTTAAGGGGCCCATACCATGTTACACATTCCACTTGGAAAATAATTTCATATGTTTTTTTAATCTCTTCACATTACAAGAGACATCGAAACCCACATTCTATAATATAATTAGGATAAAAGCGACTGTAATTAGAGGCTGTTTGGCTTTAATCAAGCACGTGACGTGAATAAATAATAATGTCCGTTGAGCGTTAGACATGGATATATATTTTCATTGCATGCGGATTTAAATCATTTTTTTTTCTTAAACCAGATATGGAAAATTTTATACTTGCAAATCTTGTTAAGAGGAGTTGAGACATAATCCAAACACAAATATTAATACGTCTAAAATCAAATATATATTCCGATTCATACCAAATATATATATATATATATATATATATATATATATATAGGGACCTACCTATGTTTGTTTTTGGTCACGTACCGTACTACCGCTCCCCATGCAAGTGCCCAAGTCCCAAGCTAGGTTACAACAACAGCATCAGCCAAAAAGACACCGACACTCTCTGGAGATGACACGTGTCATCATGCCATATGTTCCTGACACCTTATCATGAAAAACCTCGTGTATTGGCTTACATCAGAGTGGGGGCCCTCTTATCGAAAATGAGAGTCAGTAAGCCGACTGGTTGTTCACTCTGGCTGAAAACGGCACGTAGTTCACTTCCATGGTTAACAGACATCCCACACGCAAAATATCCAAAATAACCTCCATTTCCTATATCTATTTCTAAGCGTACCTTTTTCCAAATATGATCATATGATTAGAATCATAGTATGATTACATTATCATAATATATGATATTCAATTTATGAAAGTCTCAATGTGATATATGATCACCAGAAATTTTATATATATTCCGATTCGGAATTCATCACTCAACGTTTCGAGATTAAGAGGCCCGAATAAGAAAAGCCCATTAGAAATAACTGGACCGACTCGTCTGGATTCTTCGTCATTTCTCCCGCAACCGTCCGAGTTTCTTCCTTCGCCGTCTTCTCCCTTGTTGGTTTTCGACTGGCGCTCGGGAAACCTCTCGCTCCTGATCATCGGGAACGTTCATCTTCTTCTCCGTCTCAGGCTAGATCTCTCTCTTCTTGTGAATTTTCCTCCGCAATTTATTGGCTTCTTCTAGGTTTTCTGTTGCTCTGGAATCTTAGGGTTTATGAGGCCTTATGTTCCTTCTGTCGGCTTTCTTTGGGTTCCCAATCATTTTACTTTTCTGCGGTTTGGAAAATTTTCATTGGGTTGCTGTCCGTTGGGGTATGGATTATATGATATCCATGCTACATTGATTTGCTAAGTTTTGAACTGGATACGCCAAAGTTATTGATGTTTGATTCGTCAAAATGTAGTTTCCATTCTCTCCCTCCGTTTTTTTTTTGTCCCCTTAGAATTCGAAATGTTAACTTGTTCGCATCTGAGTCGGTAATCGGCTACTATACGGTGCGTAGAAGGTGTTCGTTGTAATTCCTCTGAGAAATGAACCAGTAGAAAATTTTGAGATTCTACGGTATTAAATTTCCCTTCTTTTCTTTTTTTTTTTACTAAAAGGTTATTCTTTAGCTCTTCAGTTGGTTTGCCACTTGACTCCCTTCCTGTTCTTTTAGTGTTCGAAGAAACTGAGTTTGGCTGATGCGATAATAGTTCTTTCTTCTCCCTGTTTCTTTTCGGCTGTGTTGTGGAAACTGAAATTTAGTCATGGGTTTGATTGTTTTGACAAAATTTTGAGCGAACAATATCTATTTGATGCAGCATTATTTGAATGGAATCGATAGACATGTGATTCTGCTGATTTATTTTATAGTTCTCCCTGTTACTATGAGTTGCCTGGAAAGGAAATTTCTATAGTTAGAGTTGCTTAGTCACATGTTATTGTAGGCAAGTATGGCTGTTCCTTAGTGAATCTGCATGAGTTAGAAACATTCTTCATTTGAAATTTTTGAATTAGCTTGTACAGACAGGTTGAAATTTTCGGGTTAGCTTGTACATCCATGTACAGACAGGTTGATTGAAGTTGAAGTTATGGAGGTGAATAGATGTTTTTGCTAATCCAGAGAAGTTGTTTGTTTGCTTTTTGTGGGCAAAACCTACATTTGCAGGTCTAAGATCATAGCAGAGAGCCGGGAACGTTGAAGGGACCATGGCCAAGCATCACCCTGATCTGATAATGTGCAGGAAACAACCTGGAATTGCCATTGGAAGGCTGTGCGAGAAATGTGACGGCAAATGCGTGGTTTGTGATTCATATGTGCGCCCATGCACTCTTGTCCGTATATGCGACGAATGCAACTACGGGTCCTTCCAAGGACGGTGTGTCATATGCGGAGGAGTTGGAATCTCGGATGCTTACTACTGCAAGGAGTGTACACAGCAGGAGAAAGACCGAGATGGCTGTCCCAAGATCGTCAACCTCGGGAGTGCGAAAACCGATCTGTTCTACGAACGTAAGAAATACGGGTTCAAGAAAAGATGATGGGTTTTGATGGGTGCTCTTGTTCTTGCACATCCGTCCTTTACAATCTCAACAACCCGAATCTTATCATGCCGGGTCAGTGTTTCTCTCTTCCATTGTCTGCCTGCCCCATTGCGGAAATCTACAAACTTTAGGAATATGTGTGATGTGGTTCCAGGAGAAAAAGAAAAGGATGGTGGGTTTCATGTGTTAATCCATTTGTTTTTTTGTATTAGAAGTTTCGTGCATAACAATATGGTTCGTAGCACCCCATGAATTCCATCTTTTGGTGGTCTAGTGAAGTATGTTGTCTGCAATGAAGAAGCATTCCCGATCAAAAAGCCGAACGTGGGGACGAAGATATCATATTATCATATATATATATATATATGTATGTATATGTGTTATAATAAGAAAGCAAAGCCAGACCGAAAGCAACAGAGTTTTGGTGGGTAAGCCATAGCACAAGAGGACACGACAAACAAAACTACATAATGATCGGTCACATGGTTGCTAAGCTTCAGTGTTAGACCGTTGACTTTGTGAAACAGACGGTGTGTGTTTCCTGCAGGCCAACCCGTTAACCCAATGAAAGCCGTTGACTTTTCTTCTTTTTTATATAAAAATGTCAAATACACAAACTCTACACACCATTTGGAGCATCATAAAAATGCTGAGGATGCAACCATGTCATTATAATATTTGATCTAACTTCTGTGTTTCCACTCGTTAAAAGACCAAAATTTATGTTTTTCGTGGATATATATACATATATAAAAGACGACATAAATTGATATCCATACGAAAGATTATAAGAAGGAAACTAATTAGAAAATAAGATCGGCTTTATAGATCTCTAAGCAACTTGAAGAAACCGAAAGCGTGGTTAATATATGTATAACAACTTGTAATTTTTGAATGAAACTTATGTTTTGAATCACAAAAAAGAGTAGACTTTTTGGCGCGTAATATCATTCCTCGTATTATCAATATTTATGTATTTGTCACATTTATTTATACAAGGGTATACTTAATTTAGCGTGCGGGATATTTTGGGGTCTATAAGTAGAGAAAGAGAGGCACATAAAATCACAAATCCAAGGAGGGAGAGAGAGAGAGAGAGAGAGAGAGAGAGAGAGAGAGGATAAGATGAGTACTGCGGCAGTTCGGACGTGTATAATATTATGCATCTTCTTCGCAATTGTTGCTGTCTCTTCGGCTGGATTCTCAGTTTCATTTTCTGGTATTTATGTTCCTTGGCATATAATTATCCCTTTTCAATTTCCTTATTTTTTCTTCGCATCTTTCAAATTCTTCCAACTTTTATAAAACAGAATTATCTAAAGAAACGTATTAATTAAACTATAGCTCATTATCAAAAAAAAAAAAAAACTATAGCTCTCACCATTATTTGAATATCAATTTTGTACATTTTGGTGTACGTACGGTGTGGCCGTATGGGTGAACGTGTTTGGGTAGAAGAAAGGATGATGTTTACAGAGAGAGAGAGAGAGAGAGAGAGAGAGAGAGAGAGAGAGAGAGAGAGAGAGAGAGAGAGAGAGAGAGAGGGAGAGAGAGAGAGAGCACATACACGGGAGCGAGAGATCAATTTGTGCGTAAGTGATGTTGCTCGACGGCGCATGGGCACGAGGAGGCTTTTCAACGAAACATTAACGTATTATTTTTTAATTAGGGTTATCTGATAATAACTATTGTTGCATTGAAGCTTTGTGAATTAGTGTTGAGAGGATACATGTTTACGTAGACTAACATATAAATTGGATGCATGAAAGTTTAAGAATGTGTGTGCATATATATTGCATTGGCAGGAGGTGAAGAGGCGGTAGCGAAAGGGAGGTCACTGTTGTTGGGCACCAACGACTACGACGAGCCCTCGGCCAATGGCAGACACAACCCGCCGGTTAGACGCGCCGCCGCCGGCAGAGGCAGACGCCCCAAGAGAGGGTTGAAGAAAACAACGTTTTTCTTCGTCACTTGAGGAGTTTGATGGTATCATATATCTATGCAGAGGATTCAAAATCACGAAAGAAACTTTTACCAATAAAACGATCCATGCTTGGATCCCCTAACATTGTTGTAGAATCTAAAAATAGACGCCGTAAAAGAAATTACTATTATCAATTTTACTTCCCATAGCTTGGGGGAAGACACGTGGCGGTGCCTGAGTGGGCGATGTTTTTGCTCTGCGGCCGTCTACGATCGAAACTTTCCTGCTTGGGCCTCTCTGTTGGGCCTCCTCCCAAAGAACCCTCTTTTGGGCCACCGCAGTCTAAAAGAAAATAGTGCGTATGAAAGAAAAAAAAAATCCACCGATTTTGTAATAAAAATAAATAAATAAATAAATAGATATTTGATGCTTTCGCATGTGAATCGTTACGTAAATAATTGGTATTCTCTTAGGTTTCCAAAATCTTGTGTAATATTTTTACGGTTTTAAGATAAGATCGTAATTTCGGAGGGAAGTATCAGTTTCAGTACTTGATGGGATTCCTACGAACTCTTTTCACCTCTGTCCGGAGAACGACCCATCACATTAAAAAAATAAAAAACAAATTGTGTGAATTTGAGGATGGATAGAATGGCAGGTGAATAAAGCCCATCTTTGAAAACGACAAGTCCCTGGGTTCTGGTCCTCCCTCTTTACGCTTCCTTGCCCTACGCTTCTCTTTCATTATCATTTCCATTTCCGCCGAAAGCTCAGCAGCACGCATGCCGTTTTCCACCTGGAGGACGCCTCGCCGTTTCTGTGCGCTACGAACGGCATGAGTTCTTTCTATCGGGCCTAGAAACGGTCCATTAATACCCGAAGCCTCATATGAACGTATAAAGATACATAATTTCTAATAAAAGTTTTAATTTTTGTTATCTTTTATTCGGTTTGAATTTGAATTTTTAAAAATATACGTATAGAATATATATCTTGGTTTCGAAATATAATAATATAGAATGGTTCCGAACGGGACAAAAGTTTTGTAAAATGCAAAATCGACCAAAAAAATAATATGAAGAAGAGGCCTAAACCAAAAATGGCAATCGGTTCTTTTTTTCTACGAAGCTATATATGTACCAAAGTTACTTACCAGCTATTTTATCTATAGTTACAAGCACAAACCACAAACATATAAGAGAGAATGATCACAGAGCAAATCACAATCAACTATGATAATAACCATATGCATTTATGTTATATGATAATAACAAGTCAGAGCACATCGACCCTCGCCGGGAACTTCCCTCCCGCAGCTTGTTCTTCCGCCGGAAGACCTCCTACGGCGGCCAGTTTCACGGCAAACCCAGGAGTGGAACCGTACTTCTGTCTGGCTTCTACGAATCTCGGGGCAAGTACGTTATGGAGCCACTGATCTAGTGTTCTGTCTTCATCCGACAACCAAGAACCCGCGAGGATCTGAACAATCACTTCATCGTCCATCTCGAACTCGATTTCTGACCCGAAAGAGCGGCGAAATGTTGAAATGATGCTCCTCTGGATGTTCTTCGCCAACCCATCGAAATCGACTGGCTTAAACATCACTTTGTCGTCTAATAGTCCGACGAAATCATCCAGCCAAGCTTTTGTGTTCTCGGACATGGTGACTGTCTCTTCTGTGTCGGCTTCTGTCTCCTCCACCGGAAGATTCAAATCAAGAAACGAACGTTGAGCCTTCTGGGCTCGAGCCTCTACTGTTTCTGTTTCTGAATCCTGTTTTCTTTTATTCAGACTGGTTCGAGCAGTTTCCGAGAGCTTTATCTGCAATCTACAGCTTTTGGCACTGAGCATTCTTTCCTCGGAGAATTTTCCAGAGTCAAGAACATGCCTGTTACTGTCCTTGACATCTCCTGAAGTCACAACAACAATCACATTTTTCATACTAATCTCTCTCCCGTGCGAATTTCGCAGTTTTCCGGTTCTGACAGCATCAGATAAGCTGATCTGATCCGGGAACTCCGCTTTTTCAACATTTTCCAGGAAAAGAACAGAATGTGGATGCCTCGCCAATTCCCCAGCTACATAATCAACAACTGTTTTTCCTCTGAATTTATCGTCAAGGCAATCCTGTGCCTGAAAATCCGCTGAAATAAAGTTTTCCTGCCCATTGAAGAAGATTTCAGCAAGGGCCGAGGCTATCTTCTTCTTACCGACTCTGTCAGGTCCAAGAAGGGCAAGCCAAACGTTTCTTGATGATCCGCCATGGCTTCTCCATGAGCCTTCTTTGCATCCGCAGAGGATTTCACTTATGGCATTCACAGCATCGGATTGCCAACTAACTTTCTGGGACAGAAGCTCTTTCAGAGACTTGAAATCTTTCGGGTTGATCAGTTCTGCACAAGACTGCTGAGTCAGAAGCCGTGATTTCTCACTGCTCGCCCCCAAATCTCTCTTGTCCAGTGATATCGGTGTTTTAGGTTCTTGGTTTGACGATGCATAGATCGTTCCCAACCCTAAATCTGTGGTCACACAACTCAAAGGCGAACTCGTTGTGCAGTTAGTCATAGGACTCGTAAGAGCATCATTGTGCTTTGGCTTCGAAACCTGTACTGATAGCCGGGATGGTGATGGAATTTGCAGATTAGAAGTCCCTGAAATTTGCTCGGTAGGCCTTCTGACAACATTTTCGAACTGATCCCGAACAAGCTGGACCGAGAACTCTGGTCTTGAGGGCTGAAACCCGAACTTTGGAAAGGCTGGGGATTGGTGGATTCTTTGGCAAACGTCGTCCCATTTCTTCTGCAGGGCCGCCATTCGTGAACCTAATATGTCTGTGTCGTCTTTAGCCTGCACTGAATGAGAAGAGAAATCTCTCAAGAGATTGCCCCTAATGGCAACGACAAGCTAACTAGATAGAAACGCACCTTTGAGTCTATGCCCTTGTTGTGTGAATTGGGATCGACAGATCGTAGCCAAGAAGGTAACTTTTCGGAACACTGATTAGCCGCCGAGAAGCTTGAACCTACCTTGATAAAGGATGCGACTTCTTGCTCGTATTTCTCGTTGCAAAGGTGACATCGAGGCATCGGTTGATTCGTTGCGTTGCCGAATGAGGGAACTCTGAAATCAGAGGTCGAGGCAAAAAGCCCTCCAAACGGTACAAATGACCCCATCAAGCTGTAAACCACAACATCAAAAGCATTCAGTGTTGGAGAAACTCAATGTAATAATTGGGACTGAATGCTTCAAAACCAGTTTGACTGAAAACATTTCACAAGTATGTTCAAATGAGTAAAAGAGATGAACGGCTCAACAGATAGTTTCACGGATTTGACAGAGTTTCAAGACCGGGAAGAAACAAAAGACAGAACAGAACAAGCTCACTGACCAAATATAAGATGTAAATTGAAGTAAAGAAGAAACCTCAAGTGCGTTTTGTTTCGATAATGGACACAAGAATAAACTATTACTTTGAACTTGGCTCTGCATTAATGTCGTATGCTCCTTCAATCACTTAATAAAAAAATTTTTGGTATAGAGCTCTGAAGCATCACCAGTGCACAAACACAAAGACACGGGCACGTAAAACGAAAAAGGACCTGGATTTCGGATAAACCCCCGAGGGTTTAGTGGAAGTGATGGGAAGAACATGAAGATCCCAATCCTTCTCTATTGTCGGAAACCGATCGAGCAGCTGAGGAAACGTCTCGTTGCTGGATATTGAGCCTATGAACCAAAGATTCCCTCGGTGAAGTTCCAGCAAACTCGAGAGCTTCGAGACGAGACTCTCCAGAGCATTGCCATTAGAAGAGGAAGAGGAAGAAGAAGAAGAAGCTTCACAAGTCAAGCCCTTGAACTCGCCTAGATTCAGAATCACGCCCGATCCCGCGCATTTCTGCTTTATGATTCTATCTAATTCATCGAGTTTCTTCCGAGTCTCTTCTTCGTTTCTTGACCCATCGACCAAAATTTCACTAATCTCTTTCTCTATGCTTAGTACGCTTACCCCAGTGAACTCCAGAGGCAGAAACCCTAATTTCCCTCTGTTCATCAAGTCCGTGAAGGTCTTCATGGCTGCGTTAGCGCAAACTCCGACTAACAAAGGGTTCTTCTTCTCTTTCCGGGACAATACATCGCCGATTCTCCGGCAATTCTCGTCGACCTCGCTGTTCCCGCAAAACGGGAACCCGAATCCGCCACGGCCCGGGTCCGAATCCGGCAGGTTACAGAGGAAGAGAAGAAGGAAACTAATTAGAAAATAAGATAGCACGTCGAGCTTGATCTCAGAGCTCCGATACCCAGCATCGTTGAGGACCCGACTCACGACCGGGTCGTCGAGGATGGAGAGTATGAAGTACTTCAGCTCGACCCTGATGACCGCCGTCGTCGTCTGGGCTCCGCTTCCGCCGCCGCCGTGGTGAATCTGCTGCAAGTGGTACGACTCCGGGTGCCGTCGCTGGTTGGCCTGAGAGCGCTTGATCGCCGCCATGAGTGAGTTCGACACCGGCGGCTCCTCCTCCGCTGCCATCAGATAAGCTGATCTGATCCGGGAACTCCGCTTTTTCAACATTTTCACGGAGCTGGAGGCGCGACGAGTACGGTGGATTCCGGGAGGATCGTGCGGCGCAAACGTCGCGTAGCATGGAGGTCGGCATCGCGAGGAGAGCGGAGACGGCGTGGAGCGACGTAGTCTGTACGTGGCTCCGGCGAGAGAGAGAGATCACATTCACATGCATGGAGCGAGAGATCAATTTGTGCGTAAGTGATGTTGCGCGTCGGCATCGCCGCCGGGAAGAAAGGACAGAGGAAACCACCGCGACGACTAGCCCACACAGACCGAAATCCAAATGACAAGCCCACCAGCGAAAAATCACGAACCCGAACAAGAAAACCCAAATAATCAGAACCTATAAACAAATCACGCGTGAATTTTCTGCGAATGATTTTTGCGGAGAAAAGAAAACAAATCTCTTTTAGGAAAAAAAAAATATAAATGCACTTTTTTGTTTGCTTCGTCGTCTCTCAATCCTCCAATCCAAGGCTTGGATATGTACAACGAGAGTCGCTGTTTGGTGGTATATTGGATGTGGGTCCCTCCGCCCGATTTTTACAAACCAAAATTAAATAACTAAATTTATCACTAAAATATATGTACACGTGTATATATATATATGTATGTGTGCGCTCTCTCTAACATTGATAATGATACTTACAACATAATCATCAAACATTTTCTATATATAATCAATATTTTTTTATTGTTGGGCTCATTTTGTAATGATGAAGATGCCAAAGGACAAATAATTAGTTTTATTCACAATATTTATTTGCTTTTGAAATATGAAAATCTTCTCCTTCGTTGACTTGAGTTGAGGCAATGGGACCTATTGACAAAATTCATTAGATTATATTATGTTAACGTGATTTAGATCATTGGGAGATGGGTAAATTGATGTCCTGGGTAGTGAGTTTAAGCTTGGGAGAGACAAACTCTATTTAAG